TGGAGTTCAATGCTACAAGATGGGCAAGCTTGCGCTACTACCATTCGGATATAAAGTGAGTCTTTCCTTCTGTCGAGTGTCCCGCATGACTACAGTGTCACTGCTTTTACTCTCATGGGTTCACGACGGAGTGTTGTTGTTTTCAGGTTATCGATAAGGGAGGTATCCTATGCTGTGGCATCGACTGGTTGTGCAACTGTCTGTGGTGGATTCCGGGCATTATAATTGCTATATTCGAGATTATCTGTGCTGTTATATCATTTATATCCATCATTGGAATACCATTCGGCATTCAACACTGCAAGCTCGCGAAGCTCGGTATGCATCCCTTTGGTCTCGAGATTCAAGTCCGGCGGGAAGTTCAAGTTCAAGATGTATGAGTCTGGATCTGATGTCAGGCTTTGCTCGTCGTATTTCATACAATTACATTTACCAGGGCCCAGTAGTTGTCAAAGAATAACTGTTCTCATTACAGTGTCTCGTGTTTAAGTGTAGTCCAATCTCCGAATCGGGTGACACCTGAGTATCCTACAGTAGGCAAGGAGTCTTTGTTGTTGTTATTGTCGTTGGAATCCCTTCATTTAGCCTTACTTAGTTCGATGGACCATCAAAGTGCCATCACACTAGATTGAGCTACGAATGATGCATATTTCGGTTGACCAGGCCCGTATAACTGAGAAATGGTGCGATGGTTCCCAACACAACATAATTGGATGCTGGGCCGCAAAACATAACAATCTAACACACATACCCAACATGAAACACACGTGAACCCATACACGACACACGTGAACCCATTACACAAAGCCAAGTTGTGCTCGCTAAAAACGCAAATATCATCTCCCGTGACTCTCCGTACGTAAATGGTACTCTTCAGTAAACCCACATGTAGCGTTGTGAAGATTCAGATGGAGCTTCTCCGTTCCCTTCATCTCACGCTTCTACGCGTTTGAGAATATTTTGCGATGAGGGTCTTATGTGATCAGGTCTGGCGATGCTCTTATTTGTATCTAACGGGCTCAAACATGACTACCAGTGAAGTTTGTAG